CCCCAAAACCCCAAAACCCCAAAACCCCTGGCTGTCGAAAGCTTGTTGACAATATATTATTTCTTAGTGAAATTTTAAAGGATGGAGGGATTCAGAGGGGTCGTGGGTTGTGAGGGGGGATTGAGAAGGTGGAGAGATGGAGGATTGGGAGGGTTTTGGGGCGGGTGGGAAATAGGAGTGGTTAGGAATGGATTTGAGTCATCTTGGCGGGTTAGAAAGTTGGGTTATTTACCACCTCTCCACTCTCGAATCACTCCAGTTCAACTTCCCCCAATTCTCCTTATCCCTGGCAGCTCTTGCTTAAAAAGTTAGCCCCAAAATTTAGAAATTCAGTCAGGCACAGAGGAAATTTATAGCTTGGCAGTGACCAGCGGGATGGATGGAGTGGAAATGGAGGTGGGCAGAGGGAGGTCTGGTTACAGAGATGTGTTGTGGTGCCGGTTTTTATGAGGTGATTAGGAAGGTTTGGGGCTGTAGATGATCTGTTTGGAATCGGACGTCTCTAAATGAGGTTTCTTATTGTAGATCTGGGGTTTTAGGGAAATATTAATGATATATGGTGAAGAGATTCATGAATTTTAGGTTAAAGTATATTTAGCAACCCTATGAACTTATCAAAATTTGTTTATAGGAGTACAGAGATTAGATAGACTTAACCTTATAGCTCCTTTAAATACATAAGCGATGCTTATGAAACATCTGTATTGTTAGAACAAATATTGCAAAGTCTCAGTATTTTAGACCTAAGTTAGGTGAACAAGTATGGAAAATTAGTCAACTGGCTAGATAGTTCTGACAATGATATTTATTGGATAATTATGTAATCTCTTAGTGGTATAAAGCATTGGAGATCTTTTTGCACATCAAAATTGCCCATAAATTGGTTAAAATTTCCAGAAATTTATCAAGTAATGCTCTTATTCATCAAAACTGAAAGAGTTTCTATGCTAAGTCATCATTGATAGTAGAGCTCCACTGCTAGCACTCAATCAGCTCTATCTGGGTTGAGAATAAAATGAATGAAAATATTATCAGAATGCTTCTTGAGGAGATCGTAGATCAAAAATATTGTGATCTTACCATATGAAGTTTTGTTTCTTGAAGTATTATGATAAGCTAGTTTTTATTTCAAGAGGAGGATGCCAATTACTCCTCAAAAATTTACTTGCTGAAATATAATGATAAGAGATATTAGTTCTAGCTATAGCCTTGTCTGTAAACTATTTCAGTCATGGTGCGAGATGTACCAACTTTGAAAACTCTAATCTAACTACTTCTTTAATTCGAGAACTAGGTTAGTGGGAAGAGAAGTTTGAACAGATATTGCATAAAAGAGCATTTTAAATAGGCCCACTTCCTTTCGATATTTAGAGATCTTAATCTTAATAACTATAGGCCTTATGGACCTTTGGGTGTTAGCAGAAGAGATACTAGCAAAGGAAGGCTAAAAGGGGTATGGTGAAGTGCCAATGATGGACAAGACTGAAAATAACCAAGAATGGGAAGAAATATTAGGAAAAATTGAGGTGATGGATTGTGAGAGAAGTGGAGTTTGATTTTATAATTAAATTATAAGTTATACAGAGTCGGTATTGGAGTCTTGCTTAATATGCTGGCTATATGAGCAGGATTTTAAGAATTTCGCTCGAAGGAATACTTCTGAGACCCTCTTTGGAAGTCTTAGGCAAGCTAAGGACTCTCCAAGTAGCACAGATTTTGGGGTTGTAGGTCATTGGTTTATAGTCTTTGAGCTTTCTTTTGGGTTTTCTTTGGAAGTGGCCATGAAGGGGCTTGGTGGTGGTATTGGGATTTTTGGTGATAGAAGATGAACGGAAATCAGCCCTGTTGGCTTTACCTTTGTTCAATCGAAGAGTATTTGTGAATTGGACTGAGGAATTTGGAATTTGAGGAGAGGGCTCTGTATCAACGAAAGACAAATCTGAGAATAACAGAATGTCTTGAGAAGGATGGTCTAGAATGATTTTGGAATTCATGAATATAATTATTATTAAGCACCTTCAATAATTTGATTTTAATACGGGGTTTTGGGGTTTTGGGGTTTTGGGG